TAATTATTGCAGAGGTCTAATAATATATTACTTTTTAGGGAAGTATCGCTTTTTACCTTTGCATGTACCCCATTCCATCGTCGAGATTTAAGGTTTTGAAGCCGAAAAAAATTGGCCTTCCTCCAGCAGACGGAGGTGCGCTTTCTCGATCGCTTTCAGATAAAGCTTTTGGTTTCTCCTCTCTTCCTTTGGCTACCGGCGACCGAATTGATGAATTAGAAGGAGAGTCAGACTTACAACTAATCGAAATGACGTAAAGACATGAGATTTAACTATCATTCGCCTAATAGAGGAACTTATATATATACATAGTAGATAGCAAAGCTTTGGTTGTTGCAGGTGAGAACACTGCCCGTTTGTATAATCATATTACTTAACCACCTCCACCCGTCAACAAGTATGAACGAATAGTCGTCTGTTTAGTAAACCTTTCATTGTTTCCCCAGTCAAAGTCAACACGAGTAGTGAGGACGTCATCTATTGGCGGATATGACATTTTAAATCACCTCTGTCCTCTTTTTATTATTTAAATATATTAGTATTTAATTAAGAACTATTTAATAAAAAATAATTAAAATTAATTATATCAAAATAATTTAATTATAAATTAAAAATAACCGACTATACAATCATAGTTTTCAGAACAACGACGAAGGATTTCATATTGTGAAAGAAACGCAAAAATATTCTTTGTATACACTATTAAATAAGTCTCATTCAATGTATCTCGCTAAACAAGCATTAGCAAACTGTTCGCCAAATCGACTTGGAAACTTGTTCTTGATATAACACAAAGCTGAAAAATGCTCTTTTTACAATTGTAGTTGTAATTGGTAGAATCAAAACTAGTGAAATTGTCGTTGTCGCTAGACAATTTCAGGGTTGTAGGGGATAAGATCGAATAGGCATAAGGAAAAAAGAGATATAATTAGGACTTTGTTGCAATTGGAATTTTGTTTATAGTATAATAAATTAATTTTATGTCAACTTTTGAACAAACAATGGATTGTGTTGTAGTGACAAAATACTCTAATATTACCTATAGATGTTGTGTTCAATCACCAATATAAATATATGACTTATTTTTGTTCCTCCGAAATTTTCCCTGCCTATGCCACTGACGTCATCATCCGTAGTGTTCTAGTCGCAGCAGCCAAGAAACTCCCATCACAACTTCACTGCAATCTCCATTTATCAACCATTTAACATTAATTTCCACTAAATTAAATTTTCCTTTATAAATTAAAAATAAAACAAATAATCCCCTAACGAAACTTTCCCTCTATAAATAGCCACTCTCATAACCCTCATTTCTGCAAAACAAATCACACTCCCAAAGTCCCAATGGCCCAAACCTCCTCCTCCCTGCGCTTCACCGTCCGCAGGCGCGAACCGGAGCTGGTCCGGCCGGCGGGTCCGACGCCGCACGAGCTCAAGCTCCTCTCCGACATCGACGACCAAGAGGGGCTCCGGTTCCACATCCCCGTCATCCAGTTCTACAGCCACGACCCGGCCACGCGCGGCAAGGACCCCGTCGCCGTGATCCGGCACGCGCTGGCGGAGACGCTCGTGCCTTACTATCCCTTCGCCGGCCGGCTCAGGGAAGCCGCGGGCCGGAAGCTCGCGGTGGAGTGTACCGGGGAAGGCGTGCTGTTCATCGAGGCCGACGCCGAAGTCCGGCTCGCGGACTTCGGCGAGCTGCTGCAGCCGCCGTTCCCTTGCCTTGAGGAGCTGCTGTTCGACGTCCCCGGCTCCAACTCCGTCCTCCACTCCCCGCTCTTGCTTATTCAGGTAATTATTTTAGTTTGGTTAATTAATCATTTTAAATCGCCTTTCTTTTATGACAACGTTTGTTTGGCTAACTGATTTTGCCAAGAAAGGTTGTTATGTCGTAACTTGTGTCCAACAAGGAAACGGCCAAACAATTGTGCTTTTATGGTTAAGAAGATGACATATAACTAGTTTTTAAAATTTGATTAAAATATTCGATTTCAGATTGTAAACTATATAATAAAAGAAGAGGTAGTGGATAAGATACAAAATTTCGGTACGTAAAACTCATTCGTATAATCATATCATGACATCGTGATACGATAATACAATTGGTCGGAATTTTGTATGATTTTTCAGGTTGGGTTTTTGTGCCGAAACTCACGCCATAAAAAAATGCATAATGTATAAATGGATAGGTGAAAAACTGAAAATTAAATAAGTTATATACTTATATAAGTTGATTAACATAATCACTTGTGTGAAAAATAAATTATAGGTGTTGTTTTTGTTTTGCATTTTGCGAAAGTGTGGCAGTGGCCAATGGGGTCAGTGGGGAAAGACGGAAAGTTAAAATTAGAAAGTAAAAAAAAAAAAATCGCGAGTAGTCAATTATTTCCCTTCGTAGTGTTGAAAAAAGCATATAAAGAAGAAAAAGTAAAAAAAAAAAGATGATGGGTCTAGATCAGGAGAAAATCCGTTTCTTAACTTTATCCGAGTTTTCGGTTATCAATTTTCACGCCAGCGCCAATAGGGTGGGTAATGAATGTGCTGTTGGATGGATTTTGGTATCAAATTGTCTAATTGACCTACATACTTATTAGCGAGTTAAAATAATTGTGACTCGCAATCCGCCCACATTCTTCTGCGGGTTTGTTTGGATGGGTGGCAGATGGTGGATGGGTGCGATTGGGTCGCGGGTCAATCCGTAAGAGCAATTATCCAACTAGCAATTAAAAAGTTGACTAACATTTATAATAAGTTCGTAACAAATTAGTAAAACTGTATCAATTTATACACTTCTAATTTTGTCTCAAGTGAATCCATGTAATATTTGCATCAAAATCATACTACTCTATCAACCAATTGTGTAGAGAAAACTTTTGCAATTTGTAATTTTGATAAAATTAATAATTTATAGTTTGCATCCCAATATTTAATGGATATTAACAATACTTTGCATCTCAATATCCAATATCTAATGGATATTTTTCAACACAATTATCAGTAATAGTAGTCAAAACTATTCCTGATTCTCCACCTTTTAAAGTATATGGTCATACTGTAGTGTGACTCGAAAATATATGAAAATTCGATACTATAAGAAACAACATTTTTTTCATGTGAAAAATAAGATGTGGGTCATACGGGTGACTCGCAGTCCACCCACCCACATAAGTGCGAATGAGAAATTTATCCATTCGCAATCCACCCACTCCTTACGAGTCGGGTTGTTTGCGAATGAATTAATATCAATTCGCGCATTAACCAACCACATGCCAGCATCTGCCACGAAGGAAGCAACTTTTTTTCCACTTTATTTTGTCAGCTTTCTCAGATTCTATCATTTCATCTTATCTGGTCAGGCCGTTTTGGATTTTAAATTAACCGCGAAAAATATTTTTGTTTGTTTGTGATATTGACAGGTAACGCGCCTCCAGTGCGGCGGCTTCATCTTCGCCCTCCGGCTCCACCACTGCATGAGCGACGCGCCGGGTCTGGTCCAGTTCATGTCCGCCGTCGGCGAGATAGCCCGCGGCGCCAGCGCCCCCTCCGTGGCCCCGGTGTGGGAGAGGCACGTCCTCAACGCGCGCACACCGCCACGCGTGACCTGCACGCACCGGGAGTACGAGGAAGTGGTCGACACCAAGGGCACGATCATCCCGCTCGACGACATGGCCCACCGCTCCTTCTTTTTCGGCCGGGGAGAGATGCACGCGCTCCGTCGCCACGCGCCGCCGCACCTCCGCGACTCCTGCTCCGGCTTCGAGATCCTCACCGCCTGCCTCTGGAAGTGCCGGACCGCCGCCCTCCGACCCGACCCGGAGGAGGAGATGCGGATCATCTGCATCGTCAACGCGCGCGCCAAGTTCGACCCGCCGCTGCCGAGGGGATACTACGGCAACGCGTTCGCGTTCCCGGCGGCGGTGGCGGCCGCCGGCGACCTCTGCCGGGAGCCGCTCGGGTTCGCATTGGAGCTGGTGAGGAAGGCGAAGGGCGACGTCACGGAGGAGTACATGAGGTCGGTGGCGGACACGATGGCGGTGACGGGGCGGCGGCACTTCACGGTGGTGCGGTCGTACCTGGTTTCGGACGTGACGCGGGCCGGGTTCGACGCGGTGGATTTCGGGTGGGGCAAGGCGGCGTACGGCGGGCCGGCGAAGGGCGGGGTCGGGGCGATTCCCGGAGTGGCGAGCTTTTACATACCGTTCACGAATAAGGAAGGGGAGAAAGGGATTGTTCTGCCGATCTGCTTGCCGGCGGAGGCCATGGAGAGATTTGTCTCGGAGCTGGAGGCGATGCTGAAGGGACCGCCGGCCGCCGGCGCGGCCAAGAAATCGACGTTTGTTTTATCGGCTTTGTAATTAAGGGATTGGAAAATGGAAGTTGGAACCAACTTCCGTAAACCCGTAATAGTTAGTTGGGATGTCTTTTACTTCTTTTTCATGAATTGGTTGTTGTGTCATTTTACATTTCCTTTCTTGATTTGCTTGGCTTTTTGGACGATGTGTTCATAACTTCATATAATCTCAATCTCGGTGAATAATCGCAAAAAGTATTTTCCTAGTAGAAGTAAGAATAGCGAATGAACTTCTGAATTCTCGCTTTGCTAATTGCTTCACCTTGTGCTTTTTATCTTGCTAAATCGCTAGATGCGCTGACACTATGTACGATTCAATGGGGAAGTAACATGTTTGACCTTCTTCTTCCTTTTCAAAGTTTCTAGAAAAAATTAATAAAGAAAGCATGTACGATTTATGTTGCCTAGATCACTTATTTAACGAAAGGAAACGAACTTTGTTTCACTTTGGGGTTTAGCCTACCCTAATAATGTATTATATAGTAGGGTGTAAATAGGCGAGCGAGAATAACAAAAATGCTTAGGTTAATGGATAAGAGAGCTCTCACTTTCAGTAGGGTGAATTCAGTGGCGAATTCAGAATTTTTATATAAGGGTGTCCTTTTCTAAAATTTAAATGTATATAATTATTAAATAAGAAAATGTCTGATTTAATTTGTCAAAATAACAACAAAACATAGATGTGTTTCGTATTTTGGAAAAATTATAAAATACAATTGATTTCTAACAATGCTCTACGTACAAATCTCTGTCGATATATAATACTAGACAAAGGTAGGGCTGACAAACGGTAATACGGTAACCGGTTTACCGTTTTACCGAACCGGTAACGGTCGGTAAACGGTAAACCGATTACCGTCGGTATCGGTATTCGGTGGCGACGATCCAATTTACCGGAAACAGGGTCGGTATTTACCGTCGGTAAATCGGTAAATACCGAATGCCGAATTGGATCACACCACCTGAACCCACTGCGCCAATTCAAGAAACACTCGCTCCATCCTCCATCATCTCCCGCTTCTCCGCCGCCTTCGTTTGGCTCTTCCTTCTGTAGATTCCGAGGTTCAACTTGCTATTATTCATATTGGCGATTCTCTTGCATTTCATCAGGATGCCGCAGAAGAGTCTGGGAACTGTGATCCTATCTGTTTAGTTGATGAAACTAGTTCACAAGAATATGAGACCAACTACCAGCCCAAGACAGACTTGCTGAAAGCTTTTGCAGTTGTGGGAACTGCTTTAACTGGAGCTACAGCGATTAACCATTCATGGGTGGCGGCTAATCAGGTTTTCTAGGGCATGCTTCTTTAAGTTATTGCTTATTGGAAACTGAAGCTTGAACTTCTCTGTTTAATCTTAAGGTTGCTCTATTTGATAATCCTGGCTTTTGCTGATACAGGATCTTGCTATGGCATGGCTTCTAGAAGATGATGAGCCTTTCATGAAACATTTGAGTAAGCTAAGTGTTGAATATCTCTAATTTGAAATTACTTGAATTTTTCAAAATGATTGGTTTGTTAGTATTTGAGTCCAAGTAAGCATGTCCATCCATCTCACTAGTGTTATCTCAACTTACGGTTCCTGTATTGGTCCACCATCAGTGGGATTCTGTTAATTCGGTAAACCGGTTTGTAACCGGTTTACCGGTAATTCGGTAATCGGTAAACCGGTTACAACTCGGTAACGGTAACGGTAAACAGTTTGGCCCAGTTCGGTATACCGAAACCGGTAAATTCGGTAAACAATTTACCGTTTACCGACCGATTCCCACCCCTAGACAAAGGGAACCCGTAATCGGGTCTAATCTTTAGCTTTTGAAAATAATTGGGATGATAAAATGCTTTTCACTATTATATTTGGACTTAAAATACAAGAACTAGTGAGTTGTAGTCTAATGAAAAATATGGTTACTAATAGTAATAGCTACCAAAGTTGAAATATGATTTCCCTAGGTTGGATAAAGTACTACAGTTCATCGCTACATCGTTCCGGGTCAATCCCCGAGGGGGTCGAACTCCTAATGGTAGAGGTGTTGAGTCGATCGAGCTAGGATGAAACACAACATCGGTCAAAATGATGGAACTAGGGGGTTCAAGAGAGCTCCCAACATGTAATTAGCTAGGGTAGTTTAGGTTAGTCTAGTTAGTTTCTTCTTGATCATTATTCTAAGTTGGCTAGATAATGAAACTTGAGCTGAAGTAAGGTACACCTAGTGACATGTGGTTCGATAATTTTATTACTTGCTTAGCCTAAATTAATTAAAACGAACATCATTTTCATAAATAAATTATCTTTTGGTTGCTATCTCTGATTGTACTGTTTTGGTGATCCAGTCACACACACAAAAAAAAAAAAAAGGTGTTCGCAGATTTATGGTCCGTTTTAACTTTTAAGGACAGTAGGATCATGGGCCGTGGGCCGTGGGCCTGGGCTGGCAGTAAATGTCAAATTGGTTTCCCCCTGTTTTCACTTTTTCTCTCTGCAACTGCAACAAAGCCAAGCCCAAGTCCTTGGCGCTGCTGCTGTTTCTTTCTGCAGTTGCGGCCATTAAAAGAACAAAACGGTGAGCGGAGGTTTACAACAAGGTTCTCAAGTCTCAACAATGGACCAAGGCGGCGCCTCTTTTCTCTTCGCCGGCACCAAATTTAACAAGGTGAAGTTTGCCGGCGTCTTTGCTCGTTTTCAGGTATACCTATAACAACTAGTTCTATTCCCTGCTTTCTTTCTCGGATTATTTTTTTTTTGCAACTGTTGTACCAATCGGAAAAAATATTCAGGCGAAGACAGCGGGTGAAAATGTTGATCTCGCGGTTGAAGAGGACTCGAGCTTGTTGCCGAATGAAAAGGCTGAAGCTGAAGTCGAGCATGTCACGGTCTCTTCTAAGAAGCGGAAGCGGAAGAATTCCTCCGCCGTTGCAGGTTATATATCTATGTTGCTTCTAACCGCTGTTTCGCCTATTAGTCCTGATGGAGGACGAGTATGTAGCTCCGAGTTTTGGCGTGGCGAGCTTGTTTATGGTGTGCTTTGTGATGGTAGGGAGGGTAGAGGGATTCAATGTCTTCAAGAGCACCAACGCGGCAGAGACTGTAAGCTCTGATGAACGGAATGCTGAAGATGCAAATGAGGAGGTTTTGAGGGAGAAGAGGAAGGAGTTGAATAAGCAGATTGAGGTGCTTAAACCGATCGCCCTTTTGTCTTGCTTTCTATATTTTTTTGGTTTACCATCTTTAGTTTGTGATGGATTACAAGTGTCTGAGATTTCTGTTTCGTTGATGATGTTAGAGAGATGCAATTTTGAGGAAGAGCCATTACATCCATGTGTCTGGAAATAGCATCCCATCCCCACTTCAAAGTTTTGCAGAGTTGAGTTCCAGGTGTGCTTTCTCTTCCACTTTTGTTTACTTTACATCTGTTATTGGGCTTGCTGCATTTGTATCTGTTCTGGATGGCAAATGGATAGCAACTGAATCTTCCGTGTGAGATTAAAGCAGAAAAAGTTCTGTTAGAGATAGAATTTGTGGCATTGAATGCAATCATACTGTTCTTTTTCATATTGGGGGATAGTGGCGTTCTTATGATATATAAATAGAGGATGAAAAGCCGATATACCATGCTATTCTGTTGTTCGCATATCAATTTTTAGTGCTTATTGTAGAAGAGGGGTAGAAGTTGATGATTGTGTTGTTGTTTTTTCATTCTCTTCGCCTTCCTGCCCCTACTTTCTGTTGCCTCTTGTCCTTGTCTTTCTCTTGTTTCTTCTTGTTTAGTGGGGCTTGTAATCATCTGCTTTCATTATGGTATGGTACTATGTACAATTCTGACGGTAGGAGATGGTTTACTTGTAAATGGTAGGGGCAAGCAGCATCTGAGCCCCAAAATCTGTCATCTGCATCTGTTGTATGTATTGTTTCCTCATGGTCTTCAATTGACGTCAAAGTTTGTTGGTCTTCTCGCAGGTATGGATGTGACCCAAACTTGTTAACCAATTTGAAAGAACTTGGCTTCAAGGAACCAACACCAATCCAGAGACAGGCTATACCCGTTATTTTATCTGTATGCGTCTCTGTTGTCTCCATTGACTGATTGTCCATTATGCGCTTCTCATGCTGTAAAGGCTCTACGTTGTTCCTTATATAGTGTGGTGTCGTGTTAGGGCCGTGAATGCTTTGCTTGTGCACCAACTGGATCCGGGAAAACTCTGGCTTTTGTGTTTCCCATCCTGATGAAGCTTAAGGTAATATTTAAGGACACTTTGGATTTTACCATTTGCAACTTTTCGTGGCCAAGTTTGTCTGATGACCATCCACGTAATCAGAACCCATCAAAAGATGGCATTAGAGCTCTTATTTTGTGTCCAACGGGAGAGTTGGCTCTTCAAACAACTAGAGAGTGCATGAAGATGGCTGAAGGAAATAAGTTTCGTATTAGGACATTGAAGAAAGAGCATCTGAAGAGTCCAAAGAAGTTGATTTGTGATATATTGATATCCACTCCTCTCCGGTTGAGGATTGCCATCCGCAAGAAAAAGATCGACTTAAGCATGTGAGTGCTAATTGATCTTGCAGCATCGTCCTGTGCTAATTACCTGAGATTGAGATGATAAGATAACTGCTCGAAAATGTATGAGAAAGCGTGGGAATTCGAAGATGATGTTATCTTTCTCCAGACAATTTTCAGTGATTTGACCTGGTTTGGTTGCTTGGCAACACACTTGTTCTCGCCCCAAATTTTTGCAATCAATTTAGTTTTCTAAAGTTAGCTTGTGTCAGTTCCGTGCCAGGTAATGACATGATCGAGAGTTTTCACATGCTTGTTGGAATTTTCTTTTGTCCAGGGTTGAGTTTCTTGTTCTGGATGAATCTGATAAGCTTTTTGAGCTTGGCCTGTTGAAGCAGACAGATTGTGTGGTCAAAGCATGCTCCAATCCGTCAATTGTACGGTCACTATTCAGTGCTACACTACCTGATTATATCGAGGACCTTGCACGCTCAGTGATGCATGATGCTGTTCGAGTTATCATTGGCAGAAAGTAATAGCATCTTTTTCTTTTTGACGAAACTGGACATCAGTACTTGATTCAGAATTTTGATGGTAGAATTTGTATTATGTGAAGGAATACTGCTTCTGAAACAATAAAGCAGAGGCTCATCTATGCTGGAAGTGAGGAGGGGAAACTTATTGCACTTAGACAAAGCTTTGCAGAGGTATGCTTCTTTCGTACGTGTATAATCGCAAGCTCTCTCTGTTATTTTTCTGTCTATGTTTGTTTCTGTAGAAAGATCATTCCCAATCCCAAGACCTACCTTGTAATGTTATGTCCTGTATCTTGACAGTAGAGTCTGAATGCACCGGTGTTGATCTTTCTTCAAAGCAAGGAACGTGCAAAAGAATTGTTTGAGGAACTAAGATATGATGACATCAGAGTCAATGTCATCCATTCAGATTTGTCCCAAAAACAGGTAGTTCTTTGTTGCGGCTGATCCGATTCTATTTCTAAAGAAGATTTGTCAATCCCATCCCTTTTTTTTTCTTCCAAAATTAAACTAACCTATGGGACTCCTTACAGTTACTTTTCTCAAACCAACCATCCAAGCAACAGCATTCTCAAAATCTATTGTTCATTATCCAGCCATTTAAATTCATACTCTTTTCAACATTCCATACATTTTGCAACATTCAAAATCGAAGTAATCCTTTGTGGTTGTTGCTGGCTTGCACCCTGTTACTCGCTTATCTTGACGTTGTTTCATACATGTCCAATCTCTTGTCAATATGGTCATTGGTTAATGCTTGATGTAAAACAATCTCCTGTATTTGGAAACAGCGAGAAACTGTTGTAGATGACTTCAGAGCTGGGAAAACATGGGTCCTGATAGCCACAGATGTCGTTGCCCGGGGTATGGATTTCAAAGGAGTGAACTGTGTGATTAATTACGATTTCCCGGACTCGGCTGCTGCATACATTCACAGGATTGGTACGTCTCCCCTACCCATGAGCTCTTTGTGATTTATTTTGAAAGAAGAAAAGCATCATTGATTGTTTAGCAGAATGCTTGAAACTTAGTTGCCTCTGGATCTTAAAAACTTTTGTACAGGTCGGACTGGAAGAGCAGGGAGAAGTGGTGAAGCTGTTACGTTGTACACAGAGGAAGACATTCCGCTTCTTCGTAACATCGGTAACTTTATGAAGCAGAAAAATCAAGAGAACAGTGACAATGCCAGTTCATCTTCAGGCCGAGAGTACGAATTTCCGTACTGGATATTGGATCTGCCTAAACGGAAGTGGAAGAAACACCGTCCTGGTAGAGATGCGATTTTAACCAGCCGAAAAGGTTGAAGAAGGATGTTGCCGTGAAGATCCTTGTTCTTCGCCTTGGATTTTTGCTCCCTTGTTCACCATTTTGGTTGGAAAGATCCTTTTTATTGTCAACTGTTTTATGTATTTGAGTTACGAGGTTTTCCGTAAAAGAGTACATGTTAGGTTTAATGTATTTGTAGCTGAATCCATTTGATTAGGATTCAACAACCGAATTACTATTTGTAGCCCTAAAAAAAAAATCTTATTTGTGAACCTCTTCCAAACACACTCTATTCAACCCACCCTTCTCTGACCACCCTTGCCGGCTAGCATCTCCGGCCATCAGCCACCCTTGCTAGCGTGACCGTCTTTGCTCACCACCACCCTCGCAAGCCACCGTCACCCACATGCCACCTTCGCCGGAGGGGAGATCGCCACCGTGGAGATGATCGTCAACGTGTAATTACTAATTAGACATCTGACCATGGAGGGCAACGCGCCAAAGGATCATGACCGGCAATGTATATTGCACACATCGCCGGCAATGGCTGGACATCTACTCCACACGTCATTGTCCGGGGTCAACGCCAGTCAACTGTTTTAATCATCTCCGGTGAGAACTCCGGCAACCGGAGATGGTTATCGGAGACGGGTGGTAACCGGAAGGATGTGTTGGGAGTGTTCGTGTACTTTTTTTTTTTCAGGCTACAAATAAGCCATATTTAGAGCTATAAATAGCACATCTCTTCAACAAAATGGTACCATTTTGGGCTTTTAAGCCGTATTAGAGAAACCACTTTTTATTCCACTCAACTCTCAGGAATCCCAAGATATAAATAATATTCTGCAGTAGGCTGGAGTACTCGCTCCCCTCAATCTAAAGCATAGAGAAAACATCGAACTTGCTGTTCACCGTGATAACAAGCAACGGAGATTCTGAAGAGTACGACTAATCACAGCAAAATGGTGCCAATCTCGTTTCAGGGAAAATACTACTACAAGACGACGATGGACGTGCTGCACAGGAAAAAAAAGATCAGACCTGCAAAAAGCTTGCATATTTAGCTCCCAAGAAGAGCCTCTGGATGCAGAGAAGGGCATTCTTGGTGACCTCAGCATTTTCATGGTTCATCAGTTTCATCACCCTTTCCTTTGCCTTGAGGTCCGTGACTATGACCCGCCCGGCTGGATGGTACTGGATGAACTGCGACAGGTCGTAGCAAGCAACGGCTAGGGCTCGAGCGTCGTTGGACGTGTCCAATATTGTGATCAGCACCCTCAGAATCTGGGGTCAGAGCTCTTATTTGTCAGTATAGATTTCGTGGACAACATATGAAGGCCGTGAAATAAGATGGAAGAAGAAGAAAAGCGGAAGTACCTGGAAATCATTCTCTTCAAAGCTATTGATATTCTCACGCCAGAATATGGTATCTTTGTGCATGGGAGACCAATCTAGATGACCAAGAAGGACCTCTTGCTTGTATTTCTCAAAGGAGCTCAGTTTCTTTATGTTAACCTTGAGCCCTTCTTCGAGCAGGTCGAGGGCCTCCAGGAGGTCCTAAAATATACAAGGGTTGTAATGATGGTCAAAGAAAGTTGAGGTAGTACAGGAAAATGAACAGGAGATTGAGCATCTAGGGCTGCACATGGTTTAGTCTGATACAAAATCAATTGACATAAGGCCCAATCCAAACGTGTGGAAACTAGCAGAGTTCAATCAAAAGCGCATTGGAGCGGTTTCAATCAAGAACTCTTTTTACTCTATGTTTAAGAGGACCTATGGAATTGGGAACTAAAATGAACTTATATCCTGTCAAGTATGACTTAATCTGAACGTCAATTCAGTTCAATCACGTGTGAACGAAATCGTTCCACGCCCCCTATCAGCATCTGAAGATGAAGACTAGAAAAGGGAAAACGATACATGATGCTAACCTGAGACATCAAGGTTATAAAGGGTCAATTCTCGACTTAACGCTAATCACAATTTGCAGGGACTTCAGGGCTGTTGTTATCGGATCTATAGTTGGAAGGTCCTTTACAGGTAAACAGATTGAGATATGCAATGGAACGTGAAAATTGTACTTCTGTTACCTCATCACTCCATGCTTGGGTTTTCAGACTTTGAACTGTTTGTAGAAGACCAAGGTCCACCATCTGAGCACCAAAAGTGCCTTTGGAAAGCAAGTTCCTAAAAGTCAAAACAACGACACGGACAACCTTGCAAAAGATAAACCAATAAATTGAAGTATTAGACAGACAATTGTAAAAGTTCGGATTAAGTACGAAAATTGCTAATTCTTTTTCAAACATAGTAGCATCAAAGTTAAGAGATCAATAAACTAGGGCCAGACAAGGAAAGATTTTGAGTTCATTCAAGTGATAACTGCCAAAATACCCAGATTCAAGCCATTGACTATATCTCCCAAAAATATAATTAAGCAAGACAGCAATGCTCATAACATATATTCTGGCTGCAAAGACACATAATATACTAATTGAAAGAAGACACCATTGAGCAGCTAGAACACGGAGAGAGAACATCACTTGAAAAACTACCATTGAGAGAACCAAAAGAAAGAAGAATGAAAGCCTCTACCTTCTCCTTCGTTGAACTCCTCACAACGTCCACCAGTCGCGGTAAGGTTCTAGAAGTAGCCAGGTACTCAATTGCAGGCTCATAGTAAGATAGCAGCCAGATACAAAGGCAGGTTTCATAAAGGAGCTGCAATAAACACAACAATTAGCTACAACTAGAGATGGAATTCAGATACCAAAACTGAAGACTTCAAATTTAGAAGAATGAAACCAGCAATTGTAGATAACTATAAGGCTAAACCAATAAGGAGCAGAAGTCATCCAGACCTCTATAACTAATACCTGGATTGATTGTTGGGTGGATGCTGGAGAAATTAAAGGAATCAGTAGTTTCACTCCATCTGCCTGAACAAATGAAGATCTGACGACAGGTTCCTTAAGTAACACTGCAAGGCAACTAACAGCAGATGGAGCGGCACGACTGGGATGCGAAGGTTTCTTCAGCTACAAGAAATTCCATAATAAAAGAGAGAGAAATAGAGCACAACAAATTAAACTGACATAACAATATGATGTCTGAGTAACTTCCTTATCGAAAAACAATATGAAGTCTGAGTAATTTGTACTCAACCTGAGCACAAAGCCATTCAACTAGTCCTTTCAGCACATCATCAATGGTGGTCACTTTGCTCTTTGAATTTGAGGCTCCTCCATTTGCGAGAATGCTTTCATGAGTTTTTGGCCTACCACTATACCAAACACCAGAGCAGGTGAGAACGAGATTTATTTGATGTTTTATAAATGAAACTGTTCAAGAACAAATGAACAGTAAAATAAGTACCTTACAACCAAAGCAAGAATCTTGCAGCTCTTTTCTTGAATGAACCAGTTACCTTTCCAGAGCAATCTGAAAGCACATCAATCATAGTTATTTATTTTCAGAACCCTAAATTATATATATAAGATTTCTAATAATTTGAAATGACATAAAATTTCAGAAAGGAGGCCATTGATCATAACAGGCCATACGTAAAGAATTCCTACTCATGCACATTAACAGAGTGAATAAGAAGATGAAAATGGCGTGCCAGAATTCTGAAGCTTCACTGCACTGAATATGAAAGTCTTGCACTAAACTTCCTCAACCCTTATAATTTAATTTGCTACCCCCCATCACACAGCGTCAGAATATAATTAGTGAATGCTTTCAAGAATACAAATGTATGACAGTACCTTAGGAAGGGCTCATAAGTATCCTCATTTGCAAGAGACTTGTCATGGAACAATCTGGCCCTTTTGGGATTTGCTGCCAATTGGAATTTACATAAGTACCGTTTTCATAAAAAGAAGAGGAACAAGGGGAAGATAACCCGAGATAATAAAAAGGAGGGTGTCCAACTACCTGTTAGCATTTCATCAATCAAAGCCAGAATATATTCAACAGTTTCTTCTTTGAATATATCACGCAGAATGTTAACAAACACCCGAATGTATGCTACACCATCCTGCGAAGTTCAAGAGCATATTCAGGCTAGTCAGCACAATTATAGTCAATTAAATCAACCATCACTTCCACCAGATGACACTAAGTCACCGTAATCGTATATGCAAATGTGCCATATATAGAGAAGGTCTAGTTCTCTCCTGACTTAAGAAACTGGTCGTAAAGGTCACCTTAAAGGTATTCCTCCATTTTTTTTTTACATCACATGCGTCAACCACTTGAGCATTTGGAAAAGAAGAAGAAGCTTCAGCAAGAAGCACCCAGGAAATTTGCATGTAAGAAATTGGGAAAGCTAAAAACTGTACATGGAGCAATATGACCACAGAAGATCAATTAGAACCTTACATCATCTAGCAATTGCGCTCTATAACTTTCAGCCTTGTTGTCATAGCGCCTCAACAGCTGAAGGTCTGACCCAGTTATCAGCTTCGTCATCATGTACGTCTCCCATGGAATATCCCTCTTTAGAACCTATATATTAGACGGGAAGCACATAGGTCAAAGAACGCAATTTGAATTATGAACACGCTACTACACGTGAGAGAAAGGAAACGACATTTCACTGGAGAAAATGATCAGAATTCAGAACGAATAGATTCTCTTGGATGTTAGAAACTGATTTCAGTACATGAAAATAGCTCCCACATAAACAATGACATTAGGGAGAAGAAAAAAAAAAGAACAACAGGATGCTTCACATTCATTAGTCACACTTACTCTGCTCCCAGAAGAATTGCCAATCAATAAAGGACAGAACTTCATACAAGTTAATCATGCCGAGATCAGAGTAGGCTTTTCCTGAGACTCATCTACTGACATCTATTGCCTCAACCAGTAAATATTCAGCCTAAAGATATCTACCATCAGGTCCACTGCATAAACAATTTTCAAACTTCGAACCGCTGGCTAATTCTTTCATATCCATTTCAAAACCAATCTTGATCTGCTTTCACCCCCTCATCTGCCTTCTAATAAGCAGGATTAACGGAACAAGCACTGAGAGTTCAATCAAAACACCAATGATGGACTAACCGAAAAGCAAAGGAAAGAGAGAACCAACCTGCTCAGTGGTCAGCTCGGCATGGTCCATTGCAGTAGTTCCCACCGCTCAAAAAATGTGACACGGATTCGAAGTTTCGAACCTGAATTCAGACAAGAAGGAGAAGAATCAAAGATAGAACCGCGGATCACACAACGGATCGAAGGGCCGTGGATCTTGGCCTTCCAGTTAAGAGGCGAAATTAGAGGGGGAAAAAAATCGAGACGAATCAGAATTGCAACTTGAGATCGATCTCCAATCCAAATAACAATGGCGCAAAGAGCACAGCGCGATCGAAGGGGACGAAGAAGAATGAAAGTTTGTGGCGATCTGTGAGAGAGTGAGCGAGAGACGAGCGGGATTGTGTAAGGACGAACGGTAGCGCACCTGTTTTCTTCGTCGGCTTTCAGTTTTCCCGGTGAATCTTCACTCTCCTTCGATCAAGTGTCTTTCTTTCTCTCCTTCTTCTTCTTCCTCTCCTCAATCATAGAAGTGGTTCCTTACCCTGTGGACAAAGAGAGAGCAAAGCGAGAGATTGGATTGGTGAGGGTAGTAATTAACTGCTCTGTACCTACGTGTTTCTGCTAACGCCTCTCGATGACTCCATCTATGCCTTCCACGTGTATGGTAGTAGATGGCTGGTTTTTGTTGATCTCTTTAAAGTTTAAAGTTCAATGTTAAATATAGGGTAAATTATAACAGTAGGGCGGCAAAAGAGCCAAGCTGTTCGTGAGCGGCTCGACGTTCGACTTGGGAAAAACTCGTTCTAAACTCGGCTAGTTTATTAATGACCCGAGCTTGAGCTTAGCCTTTTGCTGCTCGTGGAGCTCGCGAGCTAGCTCGACTCGGTGGCTTGTTGAACTCAACTCGTGAGCTGGCTCGTTAAAAGCTCATGAGATGTCTCAACTCTCAAGATTGTGGCTAGAGAGCCAACTCGATTACCGAGTTATGAGCGAATCGATCTATATGAGTTTGATTTTGATAATTCATAGGATTGTTAAATTATATATCTCACTCTATATGAAGTTTAGCACGTAGATTATGTGAGCAAATATGTTTTATTTAATTTTAAAAAGCAATTATGTATCATAGATTGCTTTGATACTGTGAAATAACGAAATTTTCACAAATTAAAATTTATTAACTAAATAATTTGATACCACAAAGTATAACATAAAATTAGTTAATATTGAACACTTAACTATTATTATTATTTTCTTCATCTCGGCATTAATCACATGTATCATGTATTACATACAAAAGAATATATCAAATACGAGTCAAGATTTTATTAAGCAAGCTAGCTCACAACTCGACTTGACTCGGCTTGTTAATAAACGAGCCGAACTCGAACTCGACTCATTTGTTAACGAGCCGAGCTCAAGCTGAGGAAAACTCGCTCGACTCGGCTCATTTGCAGCCCTAATTATAAGGTTGTTATATAAGGTTGGTCACTATAAGTAAAAAAATTCATGTTTAGTAAATAAAAGTATTTTATTTTATTCATGGTCAATAAAATTAGTTTTTCTGTTCATGTTTGACCACTCTCCGTTAGTCTTTGTTTAGCTTAGCTGATGTGGTGGTCAACTTTGATAGTTGACTGTTATATGAGTGATGTGACAATTAAAAATAAAAATTTGAAACTTTTACAATTTCCATCTCATTTTTTTTATGAATCGGTTTATCATTAAAAAAGGATTGTTGACAACAACCCTCTGCCGGCCACCCCCTGCTTTATTGGTCTTCCTCTACCGCCTAGATCCTCTTTGCCTATGGCCAGAATGTCGACGCCTATATTTTTCCTCCAAGTGACCACATCCTAGATCTGACTTCCGAAATGGAGGATATCGCCTTTGTGATGCCGGGAATTTGTGCAACCCAGATCCGCGTTGGAGAAGGGGCTTTTGAGATGGCGAATATTGTCCAGATCGTCGACGGTTGCTTCCGCACAGGACGGTTGGGATTTTGGACTGCTACTATTGTCGCCACATCGGGAATGGCAAGAGGGAAGATTGACAGCGATGATGATGAAGATGATGAGGATTTAGGGTGTGGAACGGCAGAACGACATAAAAAATAGGGAGAAAAGGTCGGGTTAGTGATGGTAATTTGAACCCGCTCCCGCGAGTATTACCCAACCTGACCCGTGATGGGGTGGGTATTACTCGAACCGTAGTAACGTGGGACGAGACATGGGTATCTACTTCCAACCAGCACTGCCCTGCCCCGCCCCAATCTTGGCCCATTTTACCTCAAATACTTACAATATATACTCTCATATTTCTCATATTTTGACTTTTTTTCAACTAGTTAGACTTAATTACATGTTCTATTATCACTACTTTTCATTTATAAAATTTCCCCCCTTCGTTTTATCGTTAAAAGTAAACTTTGTGTGTATTTTTTTTTATAACATATAAGAGTGGGTCGACCCACCCGCCATGTACTCGCACGGATATTACCCGCTCCGACCCGTAGTAGCATAGGACGGGGCATGGATATTGAGGTACCCGCCTTTCCCCGCCCCATTGCCATCACTAGGTCGGGTGGGGAATTGAGTTGAGTTCAATGACATGTAAGATCGAATTTTGAGTTTTTCGGGTTAAAATTGGTTGACTGGACTTTCTGTTAAGTCATTTTCACAAAAAACTGACGATGTTAACAGAGGCTGACAGAGACTAACAAATAGTGACTAAACGTGAACTATTTAACTCATCTTAGTGACCACGAATGAATAAAAAACTCATCTGATCAAACGTGATTTTTTTTTTTGGGTAGAAAATGGGGTGCTAAAAGGGCAGCCCTGTCTGGCACTTAAATTAAACGATTTTGAGCAATGCCCATAGTGTCATACAGAATCCAGTAAGAAAGACCTGGATCCGAAATGCTAACAATAAGGCTCCCTATACTAACACTATGCCCCTTATTGGCGAGAAAATCTGCGGTTTTGTTACCCTCCCTGAAAGTATGAGAGATTTGAACCTCCCAGTTTCTGTTGATGAGATCTTAAAATTGTCTAGTGATGATGTAATATCTCTGTTGCTGCTCCTCTCCTGTGGTAAGGATCCTGATGGCAGTTGAGGAATCAAGTTGTAGTTGCACCTTCCTGTAGCCTTGTTCCCATGCCAATTTGAGACCATGAACTGCCCCAACAAGCTCGGCTCTTGTAATAGTATAGACTCCCAAGTTAACAGTAAAGGCTCATGTGCATCTCCCTAGCTCGTCCCGGATGAGGCCACCTGCCGCTGCTTTCGAACCCGGTTGTCGAACAAAGCCATCTGTGCTAACTCGAACCCAACCAGCTGGCGGGGGGTTCCAAAATATTTGCTCCACCGCTTAGGTAGTGGAGACTGAGTGCACCCGCTTGTCATTCTCCTGTGCTTGTTTTATCGTTTCCGTCTAGCTCCGAATCATCTGTTCCATCGTCTGGTCATCTATCTTCTTCTTCTGGAAAATTACTTCGTTACGTCGTTTCCATATACACCAGGTTGACACTCCAAACATCAACCCGGATTCAGCGTCCTTCAACCTTGAAGCCAGCCAATCTGCGAAACAAAGACCCACAGTAGGGGGGGGGGGGTTCTGTGATATTTAGTCGACTCCATACCTGCTGTGAATGCGAGCAATGTCGAAGCATATGTTCCGTTGATTCGGGTCCAAGTTTGCACAGCTCGCAGGTGTCAACAACCATCAGTTTCCTACGCCGTATTTCACAATTCGTCATAAGTCTTCATGGGTCGCAAGCCACAAGAAATGCTTTATGCGACTGGGTCCATTCCACTTCCATATACTCTTCCAGTCGGGCTGTCTCCCCCTGTCAACATCATTCTTCTCCGCTTCACGAAGCCATTCGCAGGCAGCTTGGTAGGCTGTCCGAATTCGAAACTTTCCATATGCTTCTAGCCCCCACATTGTAACATCCTCGCCAAGGTCTGCTTGGGGTGGGTCGGTGCCTGCAATTAAACAAACCAGGTGGTGAGGGATATGGAGAGAGATCTTATTATAGTTCCACTCACCTGTGCTTGTTGTGAAATTCGCGACGGAGTCATCCTAGTTGATATCGGCTCCATCGCTATTGACATGCTCCCTGAGAATGATGTCGTTAGAGATCCATGAGTTGTTCCAAAAGCTTGTTTGGTGGCTGCCTCTAAGTTCCCAAACCACTCCCTTCATTAGCACTGCCCAAGTTGCCATGATACCCTTCCAGAGGCGAGACTGTTTGCTCTGCTTCCTCACTATCCCGCCCTCCCCATTGGATTTAAAGTACTTTCCCTGCAGCACCCATATCCAAAGTTCTTCACTGTTATTAAGAAAAGCCCACCCAAGTTTCATTAGATACGCCCAGTTAAGCGCTCTTGCCGAACGCAAGCCAAGCCCCCCATCCTCCTTGGGCTTGCAAATTGAGTCCCAGGAGACTAGGCTGGCTTTGTGCTTCCCTTCCTCTGCTCCCCAAACAAATGCTCTAATTTTCTTGTCGATGATATCACAAATGGATACTGGGAGTACAGCAGTTTGCATGACGTAGTTTGGCAGTGCATTGAGCACCGAGGTAGCTAAAGTCACTCGTCCTGCCAAGGATAGGCTTCTAGCTTTCCATCCGGATAGTCGCTTGTCAATCTTTTCAATGATGAACCTATAAGTATCCTTAGTCACCCGCCCGTGGATTACTAGCACACCAAGATATTTTCCGAGACTTGTAGTGGACTTGATTCCCAACAGGTCGCTGATATTTCTCTTGACTCTTTCCTTGGTATTCTTAGAGAAGAAGATGACGGATTTATCTTTGCTGACTTGTTTGCCTGATGCTTTACAAAATTGTTCCAAGCACTCTAGAATAGCCTCTCCCCGACTCAGCTTTGCCTCTGCAAACAGAACTAGATCATCTGCAAAGAATAGGTGAGTTAGAGGGGGGCCATTTTTAGAGAGGAAAATCGGATTCCAAGAATTATTGGCAATGACATCCTTAATGCAGTGATTTAATCTTTCAACACACAGCGTGAATAAGTAGGGCGACAAGGGACATCCCTGACGAAGACCGCGGGAGGGTTGAAACTGCTCGGTGCATCCTCCGTTCCATAACACTTGAAAGCTGGTAGTGGTGACGCACGCCATGATCATATTAATGAAATCCAAAGGGAGACCATCAACAGTCAAGGTGGCTTCCAAGAACTGCCAGTTGATCCTGTCGTAAGCTTTCACCAAATCGATTTTCAGAACCATTAACCCCTTCTTCCCTTATTTGAGAGACATGGAGTGGATCACCTCTTGCTGGTTCTGCCCTCCTCTAATTCCCTGAATCTAGCAGATATAGTAATCTGATCAGTCTCCTCTTCAGTATACAGGCCGCGGTAATAATCCCTTGCCATTGAGCTGAGCGCTGCCGGTTCTTCAATCCAAACACCATCATCATTTTGAAGCTTGGTGATTCTGCTCTTCCTCCTGCGAGTCAGCGTTGAATTATGGAAGAAGTGAGTGTTGCGGTCTCCATTGATGATGTGATTGTGACGCAATTTTTGCAACCAGAAAAGCTCTTCCTGCCATAGTGTCTTTTCTAGCTCTTCCCTCACTCGAGTTTCCTCTTGCAGGGATTGATCACCGGGTGTCTGGTCATTTTCCACTTCAAGGTTCCAGAGCTGTTTAGTGAGGGATGCTTTCCTTCTGAAAATATTGTCGAAGACTTCTCTGTTCCATATTCGAAGTTGGTCTTGGAGATCCTGCAAAGAAAGTAAACAATCCTTTCCCCGTTTCCAAGAGGCATCAAGCATACGGGAGAAATCATCGTGAGCAAGCCAAGGGGCAAGGAATCTGAATGATCTTACTTGTGCGAGGCGGGATGTGGTTTGTGTAGTTGCGAATAAGAATTGGCCGATGATCAGAGCGAAGTCTTGGCAAGTGTATGGTGGTAGTCTCAGGATATTGCCTGATCCACTCCTGATTACAAATAGCTCTATCAAGCCGCTGCGAGAGCCGGCCGTTCGTCCAAGTGAAATTAGGCCCTTCGAACCCTATGTCAATGAGACCGCAATCCCGAATGCAACTACTAAAGTCAGCAGCTCTTTGAGGGTTGAATTTGGCTCCCACCCCCTCCGTTCAATTGGGCAAGTGATTGAGTTGAAGTCGCCTGCCAAAAGCCAAGGTTCTTTAGTACTCGAATTAATCCTCCTGAGCTCCTGCCAAAGGGGGCGTCGATCATAATCGTTAGGCTTGGCGTAGACGGCTGTCAAGACTACATCAGGCCTGTTGCTACCTGCACACCGAAAATGAAGAAATTGAGGATTTCGATCCAAAGTCGTAATAGAGAAATCAACATTGTTCCAAAGGACCCAGATGTCGCCAGAAAATCTCACAACATCGACTAACTCATGACGATCAAAGCCCAGAGTACCAATCACATCTTCAGCGTCCATGCCGCTGATCCGGGGCTCGTCGATAAAGACAATGTTTGGGCTATGGGTACGCATATACTCTTTAAACGAAGAATGAAATTTAGGGTGTTTAGCCCCTGGCAATTCCACATAAATAAACTGATCATTAAAACAAGAGAAATGGAGAGTGATCTGGAAACTTCCCAATGATCAAACTTGCAATTTATTAATTTACCTAATTTTAAATGAATGATTTGAGTTCTAATCTCTCAAAATCCCTAGGAACAAAATTCTCCTATCCACATCTATGAATAACTCGAAACGACGGCATTTTAGGTGGATGCATCAGGTATAGATAACACATGGTCGAAGGTTTAGCCAACGACGTGCGTCCATATCCACCGAAAATTTCCTGGGCTCTGTCAGGAGGATTAACACACGAAAAAGCAGAAGCGCCGGCGGTCGAATTATTTCTTCGCAACTCTGTCTCCCTCCGCCAGAGGCTGAGAGCAGCTCGACCCACCAGCCGTCTGCTGTGGAGGCAGGCGGCGGCCAAGTTTAGTTTAAAATAGCGACCATTCCAATTTCATCGCCGCGCCGGATCGTATCTTGGGCACCATAATTTTTCATTTTGAATTGAAGTGGCGCAAATGGCGTTCTCTCTGGTATCTCCATCTTCTTCTCCACCCTATCCTCACGGCCTCACAATCGCATTCCCGCCGAGAAATCTCATCCTCTGCTCCTTCCCTCACTCTCTCTCTTCCCCTACTTTCTCTCCCAATTCCCCCTATGCGTCTTCTCTATATGCCCGTGCCATATCGTCCCGTTCCTCCTCCTCCTCCTCCGCCTCGCCCGCCACCGTCTTCGTTTCCTCTTGCTATTTCGCCCCAAGCCACGGCTGTCGATCTCACTCTATGGGCAAATCCATAGATGGGTGTTCCAGACGCAGGGTTGCTGCTTCTTTCGGCATGGGAGGGGAATTAGAAGGTAGAAGTGGGGAAGAAGGTGAAGATGAGGAGGACCCACCTGCCGCTGCCCACGACGATGATGAAGAGGATGAGGAAGAAGTGGAGGAAATGGGAGGGATAAGTCCAACTTCTGTTCTCCCTGAGAAATGGGATGTTCTGGGTCTTGGCCAGGCCATGGTAATTAATTCTCTCTCAAGTTTCCCGGTGTTTTTGGTCCTTGAGTGTTAATTTTTTTTTTCTTTGCTTCTCTGGTTTTATGGCCGTTTGCGATGTAAATTCGGTGGCTTTTGAACTAGGAGCGCAGAAATTTGGATGCAATTCACGTTCTGTTTCTATATTCTGTTTTGCTTAATAATGGGCAAATCGAAGTGCAGTAAGGCTTCTGTTGTTTTCTCTCTTTCTATTTCTCTAGGTTTAAGTCTGTGGTTGTCGTGGATGTGTTTTCAGGAAGGACTTGCATTTTTGTTGTTAGAACAGAGTAGCATTAGAAGTTCATTAGATGTTGGGCGTTTGGCTACCTTTCTGTTTTGCCCGTCTTTGGTATATTCTGCTGTCTACATTAGTTTAATTGGCTGAAATTATGCTATGGTACTCTCAGGTTGACTTCTCTGGCATAGTGGATGATGATTTTTTGGATAGATTGGGATTGGAGAAAGGAACCAGGAAGGTTGTCGATCATGAGGAGAGGGGTAGGGTTTTGCAGGCTATGGACGGTTGCAGCTACAAAGCAGCTGCTGGCGGATCTCTATCTAATAGTCTTGTGGCGTTAGCGAGGCTTGGCTGTAAGCCAATTGGAGGTCCTCCTTTGAACATAGCTATGGCGGGCAGTATAGGGAGCGATCCACTGGGTGGCTTCTACAGGTCACCTTCTATCTTGAACTTTTATTGTTTTGGTTTATTTGTAAGCTCGTGTCCTGTTGGTGATTATTGACAAGTTTGTGTATTGTTTACATGTCAAAAGTTGAGTTTGATAGTATGAGATTGTTATTCCTTTACTGGTTTGAGAGCTTAGGCTTGATTTTGGAATCTCTATAGCTTTGTCTAAAGTCAACTGATGATGACCGTGCCGGAGTTGTGCTCCATGATGCTTGTTGTGTATTTTCTGTCTCTGTGTCAACTGATTTACTTGAAATAAAAAAAAGCAGATTTCCGAGAAGACTCACAGAGCCTGTGTGGCATGAGGCATGCCTTCTTAATTAATTGCTCATAATCTCTTCCACCCACCCACCCACCCACCCTCCTCCTCCTTTGGCGGAAATCATGCTCTCCTCTTGAATTCCTGATTCTGCTGTCAAAAGCATGCTATCGTTATCTGGTACTAGGTAGGTTCACTAAGTTCATCCATGTAGGCTGTTGTAATCTCGACCAGAACTGTCTCAACAATGACTGGAATATCCCTCATAGGTGGAAAGTGGAACTTATCTGGAGATTTAACGAAATGGGCTTCAGCTACTGCATTGTGAATTTTGCTTGTGGATATTGTGCTCCCATGAAGTCTGTAAGCCTAATGTTACAAGTTTCGATGTGTTGACAGATCAAAATTGCGTCGGGCAAATGTGAATTTTCTTTCTGAACCTGTCAAAGATGGCACTACAGGCACTGTTATAGTTCTTACAACTCCAGATGCTCAACGAACTATGCTTGCATACCAGGTAAGACCTATTCATGAAAGGTTGGACCTTGGCTTGCCTCTTTTCCTTTGGGCCCAAAAAGCACCTCAGTGCATCAACTATGAATCGTATAACAACTACGCTACTGTCTATTGCTTTGCACATACTTTACTGCAACGATTTATGATGGTGAAATGTAGTTCACTTCAAGTTAACAGACTGCATGATTTGGTGATGGAAGTTCCGCTGGCTGTGAGATTGACCATTCCAAATGTGAACGACAACAACTTTCAAGTGGCAATTTTATTTGTCCTTGGTTCATAAGTGGGCTTCTTTGGCTTGCCCCTTGTTGCTTTTTGTACAAATACTACCAACTTTGATGCGAAAACGAAGAAAGATCATGGGAAGCCAGACACTCTTCTGGCATTAATTTTGATGAATGAAAATTCCATCTGCAGGGTACATCGGCAAAAGTAGACTATGATCAAAGCTTGGCCAGTATAGTTTCGAAGACGAGTATCTTGGTAGTGGAAGGTTATTTGTTTGAATTTCCTGATACCATCCAAACAATTAGAAAGGCATGTGAAGAAGCACGCAAGAGTGGTGCACTAGTTGCAGTTACAGCATCAGATGTATCTTGCATCGAGAGACACTATGATGATTTTTGGTAAGCCTATCATTCCGTTTGCAGATTGCTATTGTTATTAAGCATTTCATATGAAGCTTCTGCTACTTTTTGAGGATGAATCACTTTAATGCTGCATGACAAAGTAAGTTACAAAACCCATCTAGATCAATTGGTTAGATGTCTATTGATAGTTTGTCGATAGCAGCAAATAGAAGTGAAAATAGTAGAAGTGACTGATTATGAAATGGTTCAATGGTCCACAATTTGTTTATATCTGAGGGTAGATGTGAATTGCGGGAAATGACTAAGACAGGAGTTGCAGATCAATTGAAAGTTAGGTTTTAATGTAGAGTTTGGAAGTGTACTGGGTGACGAAGTTGGTTATATGATCGTCAACAGGCATCAACAGGTGTGAATTGAACCAAACGGAATAAGATGTAGACACCATATGGCAGACTACTGTTGTTTAGTAGGATAAGCTTGTCATCATTGTGTTCCTTGTTCCGCAGGGAAATCGTGGGGAACTGTGCTGACGTCCTCTTTGCCAACGGTGACGAAGCAAGGTCCCTCTGCGATTTTGACAACAAAGAAAGCACCATTGCTGCCACGAGATACCTTAGCCATTTCGTCCCTCTAGTTTCAGTCACAGACGGGCCAAGAGGGTCTTACATTGGCGTCAAAGGAGAAGCTGTGTTCATCCCACCTTCCCAATGCGTGCCTCTGGACACCTGTGGTGCTGGGGATGCATATGCTTCCGGAATCTTATATGGGATCCTACGAGGCGTATCGGATCTAAAAGGGATGGGTACTTTAGCGGCCAAAGTGGCGGCCACAGTAGTCTCACAGCAAGGCACCAGGCTTAGAGTTCATGATGCAGTTAAGCTAGCAGAGTCGTTTGCTTTCCATTTGGAGTCGTCCAATGTTGGATCGGATGTGAGCAACAACGACCACATCTCTTTGTAACCCTTCAGTTGTTCATACTGATAGACCTTACATGTAGACTCTGATCTGTGTATAAGAAAGGAATTGTCCGACCTTTCACTATGACACTGTCCATTAAATTTTGCCAAAGCATTTATACTGGAAAGGTGTTCCATTAGGGTAAGTGCAGTTGTGATTTGGAAAGGGGTTTTTGGGGAAAGTCTAACCATCTATCTGATAAAAGGAGGAAACGAAAGGGAGTTTGCGTTTTGGCCGTTGGGTTTAGGTATTGAAGTTTGTCCTTGCCAAACCAGGAAAGGGAAGCCCAGAAGGCAGAAGTAGATACGTCTGTCTCAGTCTCTCACTCTCCCTCATTTTTTACAATTCAAACCCTCTCCATCCCTCTCATTTTTACAATTCAATAACTTAAGAAGGGTTGTTTGAACGAGAAATTCGTTTTGAGGGATTTATGATGGATTTGACCACCAAATTCATCGTTTAAAAAATCAGATATTTGTCTTGTAGGATTTGTATAAGCTCTCTTGTTTGTACACGAATATGGGGGTTTTCATTAAAAAAAACAAATTTCAATTGTGTCCTTTCAATAAATTGTGGTCACATTCATATTTTCCGTTAAGGTTACAAGGGGTGAAAATAAACCAGGAACATCCACTTGGCGCTGATTGGGACCCACCTGGATGCTGATTCATTTTAGGGGCAAACAAAATCAGGGGAAAACGAACTAGGTTTCATTCAAAGAAACTAATCAACACATCCCCATCCACCCTCTTCATCTCGTATTGTCTGACATAACTTTAATATTTGTAAGTTCGATCGAAACAACACTAACGACTCCAATTAGAGCAAAGTATAACTCGAATTGGCGAGGTAGTATAGCGGTGACTGATGTCGTATTCCGAGGCTCCCTAGGCTTACTATTAATTCACTCCGACCTACTAGCTAGTCAAAATAGAAAAGGTTTGTTTAACTACTAAACTAACCTAATTAACTAAACAACCAACCAAGTGGTTGAGGGTGCTAGAGATGAGATGGTTGTCTAGGTTCGAGTCCTCCTAGTAATATGTTGAGTGATTGATCGATGCTAACCTAAATAGTAGTGCGGAGGTCGCTAATATAGGGATCTTTGCAATGGTCAAGCCACTAATCCCCCTAGCCAAGTCCACCGCCCCCAATGTCATCACAACTGATCTTCGGACTAGGGATACACTCTACCTCCTCTAAATGGGTTTCACCCATCCTCACACTAGGTCGGTAGGTCGATGGTCACACACCTACTTTCCTATCATCAACTAGGTGTGCTCCTAATTGGCAAGTGATGGTCACCTTGTCCACCAATTAGTACCCTATATCATATAACCTAGATAGAAAGCTCTCCACACACATCCACATAGCTAACTCTAGGGCTAATCATGCACCATGCCATATCAAGCAATCAAGCCATGGAAAGAAGCAATAAACACATAATTGAACACAAACATCTAGGTTCTCATTCAATCAATCAAACACAAAGTACATAATAAGATTCATCTCCCTTAAACAACCTTATTGGTTCAAGTCATAGAAAGAGAGATGAAATACAAACAAGAGAGGAAATGCTTGTAGTCATATTCTTCTCCTATTGCACCCTTCTCCTTGAATTTTGGATGAATTCCTCCTTCCCAAGCTGACTCAAGGTGTTTCTCTCACTATGAACTACCCAAAAACCCTAATTTCTCACTCTATATCGACTCCCCTTCATCAATTGCAGAAAAAGGATATTTATAGGCTTGCTGCAACATGATACGGCTAAAAGAGTGCAAGATAAAACCTCGATGCCATGACCCGATAGATACGACCGTATCCAAGGTCGCATTATGGACCGTATCGTGTAAAACGATGTCGAATCACCCGAAAACGTCGCGTCTTTACTCCATCTTTGAGTTCCTAGTTCCCGGACTGGAGCATGAGATCGCGACCGTGATCTTTATGTCACAACATTTTCGCGGTCGAGTTGCTCCTTAACTACGAGGCTGGTCTTGAGATCTCTGTCAACACGTTGGTTGCCTCTTGAAGTTTCGTGGTCACGGGCTCACAACCCAAGGATTGCGACCATGAATATTGATACTTCCTCTTATATGGCTTGTGATATTAAATTTAAGGGTGCGCCTATGGTGACATGCATGTCACAGTAACTTACACTTTTCGGTCGACCTCAGTTAGGATTAGGTCGACCTAATATGTTGTTTTAGTGTAAAAACAAGTTCATGGTGCCTACTTTGGAGATTCATATCTTACAATTGGCTCGATGGAAATTGGAGATTAATGGCTTGTTTTGAAGCTGGAGTGTCCCTCTACACATTGAAGTGTTTGGGAGCTCGATAAGAAGTCCAGAAGACCATTTCTGAACCTGATCAAAAGGCTATGCCAAAACCTGGAAACTGTCTGAAAATGACCAAGTCTGGGAAAGTGTTTGTGAAGCCTACTTTAGAGCTCAATTCGAGAAGCATGGATGGGATTCGAGTCCAGGGGCCTCTACCACATGAAAGTAGGTATGTTTGTCTACAAATTCAAGGCATTGGATGAAATATTGGATATATGGAAGGCTTCAAACAAAAGGCTCGAAGTTGCTACGAAGTAAGCTGCCTTCTAGCACAAGACTGAAACGACAGATTAGGTCGATCTAATCCTATATGAGGTCGACCTAAAAGTGCAAGTTACGGGGACATGCATGTCACCGTAGCAAAGTCCTAAATTTTAATAAGGGAGGAAAGAAATATTTAGAAATTTTAAGATATTTATTTAAAAGTCATATTATAAAATACCAAAAACGCCCCTTGTTACTTCCCATTGTCTGATTTAACTTAACAATAATGAACGGTGATAAAAGTGGTTAGCATGGTGCTTATTGCTATAGAGTTAGCAATGGAGTCAAAATCGGGCTTTAAAAATTAAAAACTTACGGTTTTACGCTTTTAGGTCACCAAAACACTTTCGTTTCTATATAAAAACTTTAATGTGCAAATCAGACTAAATTGCGCATTAAAGCTTAAAAACTTACACTACAGGAAAAAGATCATTTCACCAAGGGAAATCCCGTGTTTGAAAGTGTGTTTCCCGTGTTTAATAGTTTCAGACACGAAAAAATTACCGTAATATATACCTCCGTGTTTAACTGTAAAGGTCACAGAAAAATTCTACCGTGAATAGTTCTAACTAGTCATGATATAAATTCCCATGATTATTTGTAAGGGGACAACCATGACTAATATCAATTTTTATAGCACAAACTCATGAAATGAACACATTTAAAGACGGAATTTACACAATTTAATACAGTATTTACCGTGACAAAAATCAATTCCGATAAGTAGAAGTCCATCATTAGACACAATATTTACTACTTGAAATGACTGGTTTTCCAATGACTAAAGACAATTAAATGTATTCACCAAAATTATAATATGAAGACATTCAAAACAACATTATAATACCAAGAGTAACCAAAATTCTTTGCTGTTATATTTTGCAGCCAACCGTAGGGGTGTTCAAACGGTGTGGTTACCGTGGTAACCATTTTAACCAGTAGTATTTTGCTAATTTGGTTTGTTTAATTTCGATAATTGGTTTGGTTAAAAAATTAGCTTGTTTAGTTTAGGTGGTTTGGTTTGGTTTCATACACTCCTAACCAATCAAACCAAATTAACCAGTTAAATAATTAGCTATATATCTAATATATATTATATACACATACTTAATACTTTGCATAACCCCTCAAGAGTCAAATGTAAGATAATTGTATTTGTTACATGTATTTAGGTTAAGGGTTAACTACAATTATGTGGATTGTTATGTGTTGTTCATTATATAAATTGCTAATCGATGCACTAACTGAAAATTTTTCTCACTAAATGATAATGTGGTGTTATATTGGTTATTTTGGTTAACCAATTAACCAAACCGAATAAATTTTAATTTGGTTAATTTGGTTGTTATATTAATTTGGACGGTTTGGTTATGATATTGTATTACATAGTTAATAAAATTTAGAAACCCATTCTTGTAGCATGAATGCCTTTCCTCCACGAGGGTGTCATAATTTCATTGCCAATTCTCCTCTGCATTCCAGCCTTCAAGTCTTTTTCCACCCTAGAAACACTATTCAAATGAGCTAACAGTTACTGTTGTCCCATCTAGCAAACTCAAATGCTGCAAGAATGAAACATCCATAAATCACAAGCAAAGCACTAGTAGAATACTTGTCCTGCCCCAAGGGAAAACAGAATAGACACAAAATTCACATAATAAAAGCTTTTATTTAGATGTTTGTATGAGTTGAGCTTTTATTATGTGAGTTTTACACAAACTCGGGGCATCTGGGGCTTTACATTACCTTCTGTTAAGATTTTGGCATCTGGGGCTTTACTGCAGCACTTCCATTTCCTTTGTCATTAGTTGCTAAAGCCTGCTGGCTGCTATGAAGATTGCACAAACTCCTTCAGTGAGGCCTCCTTTGTTTAACTCCTGGCATTACTGGGCACACCATTGGTTGGATAAAATGTTGACTCCATATCAGTTAGCCAAGCCTCCTGTATACCTCTATCAATTAGAGATGACAATTACCCACTCATGGGTAATTATACCCAAATCGAAGTAAACCCATTCATAATGGGTTTGGCATGGGTATGAATGTTGCTTCCATAATCTAAATGGGTATGAGTTGGATACGGATATCCATTTACTCGAGGGTGTTTTAACTACACATGCAAAAATTGGACCTATTTGTATAACTTGAAAAGTTCAGGTACCAAAATGTAAGACCAAAAAAATGTAGGTACCAAAATGTAATTTTCCATCGATATTTTGAGGACTTATATGCAAAAAAAATTAAATTTAGGTACTGAATATGCATATCTATTAAGTTTAGGTACCAAACTGTAATTTACATTTGGGCATGGGTACAAACCCAAATCCATTTGTTATAAACCCAACCCAATCCAAGTAAATGGGTATGAGTACAAACCCATCAAACTCTACCCATATCCATCTATTTGGATTTTATACCCAACCCAATTGGATTGGATAGTAAAAAACACATGAGTATGGACAAAATTGTCATCCCTACTATCAGCCTTGCTTGTACCTCTATTTGCTCATGTGACGAGGAATTTTACAATGCTATATAACATTGGTGCTATAGGTTTTTATCTTTATGGTACAACTCGAAATTGTACCTTTAATATTATGGTACAACTTCAGATTGTACCTATACTTTTTGTGCAAATTCTTTTGTGGTACAACTTAAACTTGTACCTTATGTGATGGTACAACTTCAAATTGTAAAGTTGTACCATAACATTAAATGTATAAGTTTAGATATGATACAACTTTAAGTTGTATATTAAAACACCAATACTATATAACATAGTAGAAGCGCTACTCATGTAACATGAATGAACCAAATAAATCGCTAAGCACATTCAGTATGTCGTTGAAACTTGAAAGGGACTTCTCCAATTCCATATGAGCCATACACTTTGAAAATTACTGAGGCAAAAGAGATTTCACCATTCAACAAAATCAAGAATGGCAGAATAAATGGTTCACAGGAAGCTAACCGTGATTACTCATTGGTCACGGGAAATATTTTTTTAAAAATAGAAAAGGAATTACCGTGACTAGAATGATATAATTAATTACCGGACTTGTACCGTAACGATTGGTATACCACTTAACACGGGATATATTTCCGTGGATAAAATACCGAGATTAGATATATTTTTTTTCTGTATAATTATGCTTTTAAGCTTATAGTTTATCAAAACGCTTAACGCTTTTACGATTTTAGTTTACTAAATGAGTATTCTTTTTATGAAATTAATTATAAAAAGTATATTTTAAAGGTAAATCACCAATAATATGATACATTTGAGAATAAAATATACATACCAAGTACTTGGATGCATTCTCAGCTTGAATAGAATAAATATACATACTAGGCTATTCCAAATTCATTAGCATAGAGGGGAATGTGGTTTATCATTAAGATTAATGTTTATGAACTTTTATAAAGAGACTATAAGTTGCTCTACTTTAGTCATGAATTGCAGGTATTTATTAATTTATCTAAATTTTGTGCACTTATATTTTACATAATATATGTCATACTTAACTGATTTTTAGTTATTTTACAGTATGCGTCAAATACTTACGCTTTTACGCTTTACGATTCTACCATTTTCTGCTTCTATATAGAATCACGCTTTTGACTGCATTGAGAGTTAGCACACCAACTCCTCCCAAAATTACATTCTTGTTGGTTATTATTCTTCATTTTGATGCAGTATGTGAATGGTACGTTAAATAATAGGGCTAATACCACTGGGAAACCCGAACTATTAACTTTGCCTAAAGTATTCGATATGACATTTGTGTCCCAATGTATTATAGTTTTATGTCATTTGTGTCCTAAAGTATTCGATATGACATTTGTGTCCCAATGTATTATAGTTTTATGTCATTTATGTCCTAACAATTTCGTTGACCGTTATAGATAACAGTTGACCGGACGGTGGTCAACTTGACATTGACTTTTACTGACGTGGCAAAAACGTGGCTGCCACGTCACTGACACCTCTTATTTTAAATTAAAAATTAAATAAAAAATAAACATAACAGGAACAAAATAAAAACTCTCACTATTAATTCATAAAAAAACTCACTATTACTATTATTATCTACTCCTTCTCCAGCGACCAAGTCGGACCCCTGACTCGTCGCTCCTCACCTCCCCGCCGCCGAGACTTACTCCTCCAGCCCAGCTACTCCTCCTCCCTCCGCCAGCTTCTCTATTTTTTCCTCTACCATCGCTCCCGAATCTTCTTCTTCCTCTTGTTTCGTTGGCGAAACGCGCGCGTTCAATGCGCTCTGTTTTCAAAGAGACAAAAACACAAAGTCAACACAATCGTCAAATATCCGCCGCCGAATGTCGGCGCCGTTGATTTGATCGATTAATACAGAAACCAAGACGACCGTCAAATATCCACCGCCGGCGTCGGCGATGTTGATTTGATCGATACACCTTTGACTTCTAATCAAACAACCGTTATTCGGTTCACCACCTCTCCAAACTACGTTCGAACGAGGGTGTTCGGCGAATAACCAGAAAATCGAACCAGGAGTGTTCTAAGTTACGTTACCTCTACTCCTATGGAGGTTCCTCTGGAGAGCTCCGCGACTACGACTACAAGCTACGACTACGACTCTGCAAAGGATTTCTCTGACAGAGCGGTTCTACGAAACTAGAGAGAAAAAACTGATAAATCTGCGACGGTGCAGTTTGAGATTTGATTTTGCCGTCCCGAGCTTCTCTCTCTTCCCAATCTTTATACTTCGCTCTTCTCCCCGCAACCGTAGTAACTGCCTTCGCGCCTTTGTCTCCCACGTCTTCATTCCTGTCAACCGTGCAGGTAATTTCCTCCTTGTTGCGTAACTCCCACGAGTGCGAAACCTCTTGGACACGCGAAAACTTGGCCAAAACGACACTGAGCCAAAATCCACAATTGCTGAACTCTCGCCACTGCGACGTTGTTTTCTATTAATCAACATCGTTTCAGTACCGCGACGGTGTTGATATCTCCCACGATGTCGTTTTCGACTAAACGACACCGTCTAAAATAACCCTTGATTATTAATTAATTAATCCGGCCATCATTGTTACCTCGCCGTCAAACTCTCACCCCTCGGCGCCGTTCTTAGTTAAACAACATCGTTTTCTAGTCCCGCGATGTCGTTGAAGTTTTGAGCTTCGCGACACTGTTTTAAATTTAACACTGTCGTTTTAACTATTGCGACATCGTTTGGCCTACTCGCGGTATTGTTTTATAATCCGCGGTGTCGTTTCTTTCCTCTTGCGACATCTTTTTCAACTAAACGACACCGTCCTAAACACTCATTAAAATATTAATTGATCAATCCGGCCATCACTAGTCAAATTCGCGTGTTGACCCACGACATCATTAGCGCCAAAACGGCTCCGTTTGCTTCTCCTTTCGCGACATTGTTTGTTATTTTAAACACTGTCGTTTGCTAGTACAGCGGCACCATTGGGCATACTCACGCTACTGTTTTGAATTAAACGACACCGCTGATATAGCCAAAAAAATACTAATCCATGGAACCGCCGCCAGTCGGCGCTCGCATTGGGCTGGGCAAATTTTGGTCACTTACCCGATATGGTTTTTAATTAATCGATACCACTTATCAGGCTCTCGCGGCATCGTTTTTAAATCCGCGATACCGTTTTAACTCTCCGCGATACCGCTTGTCTCCATGCGGTACGATTTTCCCCTTCCGACAAAGAATAAAGATAATAATTACTAATAATAATCAAAACTCCTTTACCAACACCAATACCAAACGTGCGGCCCACATCTTGCTTCCCGGTAAACGGTGTCGTTTTCAGTGCCGCGGTTCCGTTGAGCCTCCTTGCGGTACCGTTTTAACTCTCCGCGGTGCCGCTTGTCTCCATGCGGTACCGCTCCTCCCCTTCCCACAAGGAATAATAATAATAATAATAACTCCTTTTCCAACACCAATACTACGCGCGCGGCCCCATCCTGTTTTTTAGTAAACAGTGTCGTTTTCGGTGTTGTGGTACCAGTGAGCTTCTTTGCGGTTCCGTTTTTCTGTTTCGCGATACCGTTTTAACTCTCCGCGACGCCGCTCAACTCCAAACGTCACCGTTTTTTACCCGCGGTATCGAATTAAATGCCGAGACTAATTAATGCGACATTTAATTCAGACCAAATTAATTTTAGGTGTCAACACCTCCCCGCCACCACACCCCCAACCCGATTCGAGATATTGGATTAGTGAAATTTGAAAGAAGAGGGAGAAAAAGAGGGGAGCCTCTCGAGACCATGGCTGCCGCTGACCTTACCATCTCCGCACCCACACTCGCCGCTTCGATTTTTAATTTCCTCAACGAGATCGGGAACAAGGGAGAGAAGGAGGGGAATGGGGCTTGTAATTGGGCGATGTTGGCGATGACGAATCCAATCTTGTCTCAGGAGATTGCCCTCTTTATTAGCTTGGATGTCATCAAATCCAATCTTGGTAGGGTATTTTCCATAGTTCCGCCTTCCATGGTCAAAGCTTGCGGCAGTGTTAAGTAGGTGAATCTCTTCAATTGGCGATTGGGTGCACGAATTGAGAGAGACGGAGATGAAGAATGAGATGGCGATGATTACGAATGGCGAGGAGAAGGGGGAATGGCGGCGAGGGAGCTGGAGGAGGTGGCGGCGTTCGATGAGAGGCAGCGGGGAGGAGAGGAGAGCGAAAGCGGCGAGGAAGAGGAGGACGGAGGCGGGCAGAGCCGAGATCAACGGGAAGAGATAGTGGCCGCTGCGGCGGGGCAGTTGTAGTGATGATGGCCGCCGTTCTTCTTCTTCTTCATTTCCGATTGTGAAAATTGCAGAGGAAGTCGACTGCGTTTGTAGTTTTCCGGGTCTCTCTGGTTACCGCCGGTCAGTGTAAGGTGGGCGAGAAGGGGAGAGGTCGGAGAAGACGACGGAGATGGGTTTTTATTTTTTATTTTTGTAATTTTCTTTTTTTATATGAAAAATAATTATAAATTAATATTATAAATTCCACTTCAGATGCCACATCAGCGCTTACTGGATTTTCTGTTAAAAACTAACGGTCAACGCCGGTCAACTCTAACGGAGAAATAGTTTAGGACACAATTGTCATATCGAATACTTTAGGACACAAATACACAAAATTAATAGTTCGGGTTTTCTAGTGGTAGTAGCCCTAAATAATAATCAGAAATTGTTGGGGATTGATTTATGTATTGCCTAAGCTAAGGTTTAATAAAACATTGGTTTCATCTTACGTCTACGAATTCTAGTTTCCAAAATGGGAGTATTTAACAATGTAAATATACAACTTAGCTTGCGCACAGCTCACCTCTAGGTTGTAGGGTAGGGTATGCATTTGTGCATATGATCAGATGGGTGATAACGATGTAATTGCACATGTTTGCGCCCCTAGTTCTTATCCGTTTGAGGGCCATAGTCGTGTGTTTTGGCCTATTTTACGCCGGGTTGTGCTATTTTGTCATATTTCAGGTCCCAGGCGTCAAAGGGAAGGCTAACCACGAGTTTCGGGGCATTCGGAGGTCATTTCGTCAAGCTGGGGCCAAAACACGGGCACACCTAAGGCATTACACGGCCGTGTTCCTGTGGCCGTGCTTTTTATGCCGAGAGCTGAGCTGATTACACGGGCAGGGCCGAGACAAAGCACGGCCGTGTTCAAGCATTACACGGCCGTATCCAACGCGAAGCACGGCCGTGTTTCTTCCCAACTGCTGGCCGTGTAATTAACCCTGGCCGAGACACGGGCGGACTCAGGCAAAGCACGACCGTGTCCTCGACCGTGCTTTGGCCACTGATGCCTTTTTAAGCAGATTTTCAGCCAAAGAGAAGGGGATTCGAGTTTTTGAGAGATAGAACGATTCCTAGAGAGAGAAAGTGACGAGCAAGAGTTCCCAAGTGCCCTAGATTGATCTTCAACACCATTGGAGGCCAGTTTGAGCTTGGAGAAGTGCCGATCAACATCCAGGAGCAGGAATCCATCCTTCACAGTATGAATTCCGCGTCTGATTCTGCTTTTGCTTTCTTCTCCATGGAGTAGTTCTCCCATTCATCTGGGTATGGAGAACCCTAGATTTGTATGTTAGGCTTTGATTGTATGAACCCAAGTACTGATTCTATGATTGATTATATTCGATTGAGGTTTGAATGATTGAATGACTTGAATCCTGATCAAATTCCTGTTGTTTCTGCTTTAACCTAGAATGAGAATATCTGCCTAGGTTGATAGAGCATCCTGGATTGAAGGTAGGGAGTTGGTGACTTTAGTCGAGGAGCCAACTCACTATTATGTACCGGATTTACTCCGGTAGTGGAGGTTTTGTTTGTTAAGGCCTCAATCTGTTTACTCCGGTGGAAGTTAGTCGCCCGCTAGAGACTCAGATTGAGAGGGTCTGAAGACCTTTAGTCGAGACTTCAGGCTGTTTAAGAACCTTCCGCAGTATAACTATCATAGAAACTGAACTTGGTAATTACAATCTGGCTTAACTGCAGTCTAGGGGGAACCATATCCGGGTGACCTCTCTTAACCTGAATACAACAGTTTACTTGCTTTGTTAGTTTGTTAGTTTAGACTTGCATTAAAGTTTCATTGTTAGATAACAAGAATTCACTGAGTAGTCATCAGATCTAGGACCCGGGTTGATAATTAAACCTAAACCCGCTATACTACGCTTTAGGAAGTGGTTTCATTTGGCCAATTCCTAGGGTGACAGTAGAGTCGAGTCAAGTTTTTGGCGCCGTTGCCGGGGACGGCTAGGTTGTTGAAGAAAAGTGATTTCTGTTAATTTAGCTTTTCCTTTTGCTTTGTTTGCTTTGTCCCACTTGTGCCTTCACGGGTTTGCTTGCTTGAGTGTGTGCAGGTAGTGCATGACCCGTAGCCAGTCAGGAGGTTTACTGCCGTTGAATCCAGAGATTGACCGCACCTGTCGCCAGCTCAGGAGACAACAGCGAGCTAGACTGGCTACGGAAGAGCGCATAGACGGCCACGTGAGCAGTGATTCTGAGGAGGAGTACGAGATGGAGGACTACAATCAACACCAGGGGAATCCTCAGCAAGCTCCCCCAGTGAATCAGGTCCTGGGGAACAACCCCATACCCCAGGATCATGGAGTTCATCATCCACCGCTGCCGGGTCCCACCTTGGAGTACTACTACACTCCGCGGATTGCTGACATCCGCCCGGTCATCTTCTACCCGCCTATCCCAGCAAACAACTTCGAGATCAAGCCATGCTGGATTCAGCTCATTACATCTTCCATCCAGTTCCATGGCTTGAAGGATGAGGAGGCCAGGGTACATCTTTCCCGTTTTCTGCAGCTGACGAACGGGTTCAAGCTGAATGGTGTCCCGGATGATGCGATCCGCCTTCATCTCTTCCCCCATTCTCTGGCGGGGAATGCTAAGAGGTGGTTGGAGACCCAGCCCCCATTGTCCATCACCTCTTGGGACGATCTGGCTGACAAATTCGTGCACAGGTACTATCCGGCATCGAAGACTACAGAGATTCAGCGGGAGATCACTCACTTCCGCCAGGAGCCAGATGAGTCCATCACCTCTTGGGACGATCTGGCTGACAAATTCGTGCACAGGTACTATCCGGCATCGAAGACTACAGAGATTCAGCGGGAGATCACTCACTTCCGCCAGGAGCCAGATGAGTCACTTCGTGATGCATGGGAGCGGTACATGGGCTATTTCTGGCAGTGTCCCCACCATGGCTTTAGTGATGCATTCACAGTGGGGAATTTCTACAGTGCTCTCTCTCCAGACAGCCAGAGGGTGATTGAGTCTCTATGCCCAGGAGGGGATGTTCTCACTAAGACTCCACCCGAGCTGAACCAGATGATTAATACATTGGCTGCCAGAGATCATTCCTGGGGGCAGAGCAGCAGAGGCAGACATTCCAGGGACCGTGGTGTGCACGCCATGGAGACCAGATCCGGGCTCGAGCAGCAGGTAGCTGAGCTAGTGCAGACATTGAAGCAGCCCAACAGTCTTATTCCAGGCAGAGGTTTGGCTACACCTCCAGTTGCGCAGTGTCAGTGGTGTGAGAGCTCCAATCACCTAGTGGAGGACTGCCAGGCTATGAGGGAGTCTATCACACCCCAGGAGCAGTTGGCCTTCATCGCCAATGCGAGGCGCCTCGATCCATACAGTAGCACATATAATGAGGGGTGGCGCCAGCATCCCAACTTCGCCTGGAGCAGCAACACCACTAAACCACCTGGTTTCCCAGCACCAGCAGGTGGTTTTCAGCAGAGGCAGCCCTTCCAGGCTCGCCAGGGGCCAGACCCACAGCAGCAGCCCTACCAGCCTAGGCAGGGGCAGCCATTCCAGCAGCCCCAGCGCTAGTTTGCCGAGCCAACAGCAGCTCCAGCCCCAGATGACAGGATGACGAAGCTGGAAAACATTCTAGCTTCATTCATGACGAGCACTCAGGCGACTATCACGAGGTTGGACCAGAGTGTAGCCTCACTGGAGGCAAGTGAGAGGAACCAGGGTGCCATTTTGCAGGATTTGCAGACCCAGGTGGGCATCTTGGCCCGCCAGAACACCACCAGGGCACCGGGGACTTTGCCTGCCACCACTGTCCCGAATCCTCGAGATCCTCACCAGCATCAGCAGCTGGACGCCATTTTTACCAGAAGCGGTAAGACCATATCTGCTGATCCTGTCCCGGCCAGACAGGAGGAACCACTGCCTGCTTCAGCACTTCCAGCCGACGATGCAGAAGTGCGGGTGGAGAAGGAAGCCCCTGCTCCCAAGCCACAACCAGTGGTTAAGGAGCATGTACCCCAGCTTCCCTTCCCCACCCGCCTACACAAAGACAAGCTGGAGACTGAGTTTGCCAAGTTCATGGCAATGTTGAAGCAGCTCAACATCAGCTTACCGTTCGTGGAGGCACTGTCGAAGATGCCCAAGTATGCCAAGTTCATGAAAGATCTATGCACCAACAAGAAGAAACTTGGGGATCTCTCGACAGTGTTGCTGAGCGAGGAGTGTTCTGCTATCCTGCAGAACAAGCTGCCCGAGAAGCGCAAGGATCCAGAGAGTTTTACTATCCCTCTTACTATTGGCAGCATGCATGTAGGAAAGTCCTTGGCGGACCTAGGCGCTAGCATTAATGTCATGCCATATAAGTTGTACAAAAAGCTAGACCTAGGTGAACTTAGCCCTACTAGGATGAGCATTCAGTTAGCTGATCGTTCTATCGTGCATCCTAGGGGTATCATTGAGGATCTGCTTGTTAAAGTAGGTGCATTCACATATCCTGTTGATTTTGTTATTCTTGATATACATGAGGATGTGGATGTGCCTTTGATTCTAGGTAGGCCATTTCTTGCCACCGCCAAGGCACTTATTGATGTGCATGATGGTAAACTGATCTTGCGTGTTGGGAATGAACATGCTATTTTTTCTGTGACTGAATTTGATCACTGTGCTATGATTGCTGTCACGCTTGCGCATGCCATTTCTGATCAGGTACACGAGCCTGTCGTGTATCCTTCTGCACCTCCTATTTTGCAGGACCCTCCTATCATTCCTTCGCCGTCACTCCATCCAACCTCGCCTCCGAACAAAAAGCTCAAGGAGGAGTGGCGGCCAAAGCAGCAGGTTGCTAAGCCTGCACGGAAGAAGAGTGGAGACCACTATGAGCTGGTCCCACCTCCTGCACCACGACCACCCTGGCCGTCTGGGTACTCACTCGCCTGCATCCTGCCAGATGGACAGGTCGAGCTGACTGATGAGGGTGGTCGCATCCGTCGGGTGCATGGCCACAACCTCAAGCTGTACCTCAAGAGCGACGTGGATCCGCTCTTGGAGGCACCTGTTCCTGCACCGCCCTGAGTATCCACCATGGACGTCCAGCTAAAAGACGGTAAAGAAGCGCTTGTGGGGAGGCAACCCCACCACGGTTTGATTATCTTTCTTGTGTTTTGAGTCGGATTGTAACCCGGTTTGGGTTTGGTTTGTTTTCTTTTGGTTTGGATGATATTTTATTGGGCTGACCATTGAACCTAACATATTGTGTTTGAGCTCTTCTGTTCCCCTTTGGCTGTGCTTGCCCCGACTGGCCCCCTTCCAGTCCCCTGCAGTCAGTGCCTACCGGTAACATCGTTCCCCTTTCCCTTCCCTCTTCTCCATTGAGGGCAATGTCGAGCTTAAGTGTGGGGGGACGTTTATCTTTTGAATGCATTAGATCTGTTTGTGTGCTTGGAGCCTAATCCACTGTCC